CAGAAATTTATGACGTACAACACACATGCTCATAATTATTAAGGGAGTTTGAAGACAACTTGTATACATGGCGTCAACCAAGGTTCCCACCAACTTTATCTGCCTCACTAACTAAACTTTAACTAGACCAAACCTGCTTTAACTTCCGTTAGTGATTCTACCGAACTAGCCCAACATACTTAGCCCTTCTTTGATAGTGTGATGAGGTGTGTGTGTGTGTGTGTGTGTGTGTGTGTGTGTGTGTGTGTGTGTGTGTGTGTGTGTGTGTGTGTGTGTGTGTGTGTGTGTGTGTGTGTGTGTGTGTGTGTGTGTGTGTGTGTGTGTGTGTGTGTGTGTGTGTGTGTGTGTGTGTGTGTGTGTGTGTGTGTGTGTGTGTGTGTAATAATAATAATTAACGGTTTAGTGAAAAAGTTTTGCAGCCCGAAGGCTGAAAATATACATTGGACAAAAATGACTTTATTACTTACAAAGACATGGGGTGGGTGGGTCGTTTAACAAAATCTTTCATTACTGAAAGAAGAAGGAACGTGAATGAACATACAAATTATTATAGTTTACAGTTGATGGCTCGGGCCTGGACTGGTCATGGAGGCACCAGGTGGTGTGGTGTTCACGTGGTGCAGTAACTCGTCCTCGGGTGTTGATATAAATGACCTCACGTAGTCGCGGGGACTCCGGGTGGTGTGATGTTCACGTGGTGCAGTAACTCGTCCTCGGGTGTTGATATGAAGGACCTCACGTGGTCATGGGGACACCGGGTGGTGTGGTGTTCACGTGGTGCAGTAACTTGTCCTCGGGTGTTGATATGAAGGACCTCTCGTGGTCATGGGGACACCGGGTGGTGTGGGGTTGTGTCACAGTGCCCCACCCTGCTGATGTTGTGTTATTTCGTAGTCAGGTGTGAAGCCGACCCACTGTTGTTCCCAGGGTGGACTGATAAGCACCTCCTTGTCAAAAGATGGCGGTCAGTTCCCAGGTGCTTATTTCACTGGTGGGTCACGGCTCTCACTGGTACTGTCTAGTGCTGAATTCACTGGTTTAAACACTGTTCCTCACTGTTCAACACTGGTCCCACTTCTTTCCGAAACAATTGTCACTTTTGATAATGTTGATATCCTGGTGGCGAGGATGGGTCGGGGAGAGGGACTTGGGGAATGGGCCAGACATTGGTCAATGGGGGCAGCTGCTCAGCAGGAGCAGGGCCTGAATAGGTCTTGACCCTACGGTGATCAGGGATGTGTGTGTGTATGTTAGTTAACGTCAATTATGTGATCAAATATTTCAGGGTGAGGCGTGAGATAGTTCGCCATAATAAGTGTTGTAATATACTCGCATTCACCATCAGAACAGGTGTCGTAGAAGTGTGTCATTAACGAACTAGTTCGAGGTATAACACAGAAATTAACGACAGTCGAAATCAGTAAATCTTGGGTTAATGACGAAACCTCACGAATTTAACTAGTAGTATGTTTACATGACCTCTTCCTCCGTCCAAAAAAAGTCACACGAGATAAATTCAACTACGGAATTAATACAAGGAAGCCATATCTTTCCAGTTAGGTTTATTAAGGTTTATTCTCTTTGTTAAGTTGGTTAGCTGGAGAGAATTCTACCAAGCACACACCCTGGCAGCGGTGGTCAGCAGGAGGAACCACTGCTGGAGGATAATCGTCCGGTAAAGTGCCATTTCCGGCAATCTGGTGTCCGGTAAAAGGATCTTCAAACGGTGATCGAACCAGAACTGATGGAATTTGGGTGTAGGTAAAGATGCCAGTGTTCATATTGGTCCTGGGGCCTGTGTCCGTAGTGCTGCGTCAGGAAAGTTCCACCGTAGTGCTGTGTCAGGAAAAATTCACCGTGGTACTGCGTCAAGAAAGTTCCACCGTGGTATTGTGTCAGGAAAGTTTCACCGTGGTACTGCGTCAGGAAAGTTCCACCGTGGTACTGCGTCAAGAAAGTTCCACCGTGGTACTGTGTCAGGAAAGTTCCACCGTGGTACTGCGTCAAGAAAGTTCCACCGTGGCACTGTGTCAGGAAAGTTCCACCGTGGTACTGCGTCAGGAAAGTTCCACCGTGGTACTGCGTCAGTAAAGTTCCATCGTGGTGCTGCGTCAGAAAAGTTCCACCGTGGTGCTGTGGGTCGAGGAACATATTGACCAGTTTCGCGTAACATAAGGCAGAGTGAACACCGTCTTGGTCACCTATAACTGTCCAAATCTTAAACATCCACACATGTGAATCATTAACGTCCAGAGTGTTCAGTATTATAATTGTGTTAGTGTTTAATGCAGCCGTTGCCGTGCCCTCACAACTGCAGGGAACAGACCAATGCAGCGAAAGTTGGTTCACAGTTCAGTGATCTCTGCTGATATCTGAGTCAGGTGTGATATTTCCAGTTGTTTGTTTCTTGTTGTAGTGATAATGTGCTCGGTCCGGCTCATGAAGGCTTGAGTGACATGATGGAGGATTATGGCATATTTTTCTTAGGTTTTGTTTTAGTTTCGAACTGTAATCGGATATACTAATCTGAGGTATTTGAAAGATGTAGCTCTTACGAAGCCAGACTAAATTGTTTGTGTATCTTGAAGGTTTAAGTTAGGAAGGGGAAGTTCATATGGCATTTTAAAGCTGGTATTATCGAGGCCACGTGGGGCTTTAGTTGATACGATTTGTTAACGAGGTCTCTCGGTGTTCATCGGCGTAGTAGTTTATTCATTATAGTCTATTAATGCTTTTGTGGGATTTACATTTTCATGACGACTGGCGGCGGTAGGATTTGGACTCAGCATTTTATATTGTATGTTATTATTATTATTATTATTATTATTATTATTATTATTATTATTATCATCATCATGGGTGATGTATTTCTTATTATCATGTGATGGGTCTTTCCAGGGTACAGTATCTTATCACGAGTGTGTTATCATGGTGGTCGACTGTGCGGTAATATTAATGATGGTGGTGTTAGTGGGGACTCCTGTAGGCTATATAGTGTAGTACTGTATTGTATATGGTGAACTCTAAGGAAAAAGATATACTCCTGGGTGCCAATTGTGAGAACAGGTGAGTAGTTGTATTGATGTAGGTGTGGTGGTGTTAGTGTGGTGTTGTGAGTGTTGTATTTTATTAAAGGTCCTGGTTAAGAGTTGTGAAAATTGTGGTTGTACGGTTGTAAGTGTGGTGCTGTATTGATGTTATGATCTTGTGTTTGTTGTTCTTAGTGGTTTTATAGCTCGCCGACACAGAGGCCAGAGGATATTATGTTATTATACACCTCTTTTGGCGTAGTTGTCGTAGTAATCTTATTCGTAGTTGTAATAATAGTCATTGTTCTTCTAGTCGTAGTAATAGAGGTAGACGTTGTTGTTGTTTTCTGAGTCGTCACCGTTGTTGTTGTGGATGATGTAGTAGTCGTTATCGTCACTGGCTTTCACCTGTAAGTCTAAAGTCATACTATGTGTACCGAAACACACCATGGTCATCATACTTTTAATAAGCATCATCATCATCATCACATGGCTGTGACCTATGACCTACCACGAAGGTCAAGGTCACTCTTAGGAGTCGAAAGACAGACGGATAATTATCTTTCCGTGGACAAAGTTTGTGTGAAAGTGAGGGAAAGTATTTTCATCAAATTTGGCAAAATACTTTAAAGTCATTAAATATCCAGATGACCCTGTAGTGATCCAGATGACCCTGTAGTGATCCAGATGACCCTGTAATGATCCAGATGACCCTGTAGTGATCCAGATGACCCTGTAGTGATCCAGATGACCCTGTAGTGATCCAGATGACCCTGTAGTGATCCAGATGACCCTGTAGTGATCCAGATGACCCTGGTGATCCAGATGACCTGTAGTGACTGTAGTGATCCAGTGACCTGTAGTGATGCAGATGACCCTGGGTGATCCAGATGACCTGTAGTGATCCAGATGACCTGTAGTGATCCAGATGACCTGTAGTGATCCAGATGACCCTGTAGTGATCCAGATGACCCTGTAGTGATCCAGATGACCTGTAGTGATCCAGATGACCCTGTAGTGATTCAGATGACCCTGTAGTGATCCAGATGACCCTGTAGTGATCCAGATGACCTGTAGTGATCCAAATGACCTGTAGTGATCCAGATGACCTGTAGTGATCCAGATGACCCTGTAGTGGTCCAGATGACCCTTAGTGATCAGATGACCATGTAGTGATCCAGATGACCCTGTAGTGATGCAGATGACCCTGTAGTCCAGATGACCTGTGGTGATGCAGATGACCCTGTAGTGATGCAGATGACTTAGTGTGGATCCAGATGACCTGTGGTGATCAGATGACCCTGTAGTGATCCAGATGACCTGTGTGATCGAATGACCCTGAGTGATCCAGATGACCCTGTAGTGATCCAGATGACCCTGTAGTGTCCAGATGACCCTGGGTGATCCAGATGACCCTGTAGTGATCCAGATGACCTGTAGTGATCCAGATGACCCTGTGTGTCCAGATGACCTGTAGTGATCAGTCCATATAACCCTGTAGTGATCCAGATGACCTGGAGTGATGCAGATGACTGGTGATCCAGATGACCCTGTAGTGATCATGGTGATCCAGATGACCCTGTAGTGATCCAGATGACCCTGTAGTGATCCAGATGACCTGTAGTGATGCAGATGACCCTGTAAGTGATCAGATGACCCTGTTGTAGATGACCTGTAGTGATCCAGATGACCCTGTAGTGATCCAGATGACCCTGTAGTGATCCAGATAACTTGTCAGGATCCAGATGACCCTAGTGATCCGATGACCTGTGGTGATCCAGATGACCCTGTAGTGATCCAGATGACCCTGTAGTGATCCAGATGACCCTGTAGTGATCCAGATGACCCTGTAGTGATCCAGATGACCCTGTAGTGATCCAGATGACCCTGTAGTGATCAGTACCTGTGTGATCCCTGTGTGTCATGACCCTGTGATAGATGACCCTGTAGTGATCAGATGACCTGTAGTGATCAGATGACCCTGTAGTGATCCAGATGACCCTGTAGTGATCCAGATGACCCTGTAGTGATCCAGATGACCCTGTAGTGATGCAGATGACCCTGTAGTCGATGACCTGTAGTGTCGATGCGCCGATCCAGATGACCTGTGGTGATGCAGATGACCCTGTAGTGATCCAGATGACCCTGTAGTGATCCAGATGATCTGTGATCCAGATGACCCTGGATCAGATGACCGTGTGAGACCTGTAGTGATCCAGATGACCCTGTAGTGATCCAGATGACCCTGTAGTGATCCAGATGACCCTGTAGTGATCCAGATGACCTGTAGTGATCCAGATGACCCTGTAGTGATGCAGATGACCCTGTAGTGATCAGATGACCTTGTAGATGACCCGTAGTGATCGATGACCGGTAGTATCCAGATGACCTGTAGTGATCCAGATGAAGATGACCCTGTAGTGATCCAGATGACCCTGTAGTGATCAGATGACCCTGTAGTGATCCAGATGACCCTGTGAGTGATCCAGATGACCTGTGGTGATCCAGATGACCCTGTAGTGATCCAGATGACCCTGTAGTGTCAATATCCTGTATGATCCAGATGACCTGTAGTGATCCAGATGACCCTGTAGTGATGTCAGATGACCCTGTGTGATCAGTGACCCTGTGGTGATCCAGATGACCTGTAGTGATCCAGATGACCCTGGTGGTGTAGTGATCCAGATGACCCTGTAGTGATCCAGATGACCCTGTAGTGATCCAGATGACCCTGTATAGTGACCTGTGATGCAGATGACCTGTAGTGATCCAGATGACCCTGTAGTGATCCAGATGACCTGTAGTGATCCAGATGACCCTGTAGTGATCCAGATGACCCTGTAGTGATGCAGATGACCCTGTAGTGATGCAGATGACCGACCTGTAGTGATCCAGATGACCTGTAGGATCCGATGCCTGTAGTGATCCAGATAACCTGTAGTGATCCAGATGACCCTGTAGTGATCCAGATGACCCTGTAGTGATCCAGATGACCCTGTGGTGATCCAGATGACCTGTGGTGATCCAGATGACCCTGTAGTGATCCAGATGACCCTGTAGTGATCCAGATGACCTGTAGTGATCCAGATGACCTGTGGTGATCCAGATGACCCTGTAGTGATCCAGATGACCCTGTGTGATCAGATGACCTGTAGATCCAGTGATCAGATGCCAGTGATCCAGATGACCCTGTAGTGATCCAGATGACCCTGTAGTGATCCAGATGACCTGTAGCAGAAATATGACCTGTAGGACCTGTAGTGATCCAGATGACCCTGTAGTGATCCAGATGACCTGTAGTGATCCAGATGACCCTGTAGTGATCCAGATGACCCTGTAGTGATCCAATGACCCTGTAGTGATCCAGATGACCCCTGTGGTGATCAGATCCCTGTAGTGATCCAGATGACCCTGTAGTGATCCAGATGACCTGTGTGATCCAGATGTGTAGTGATCCAGATGACCCTGTAGTGATCCAGATGACCCTGTAGTGATCCAGATGACCTGTGGTGATCCAAATCATCCTGTAGTGATCAGATGACCCTGTAGTGATCCAGATGACCCTGCAGTGATCTAGATGACCCTGTAGTGATCCAGATGACCTGTAGTGATCAGATGACCCTGTAGTGATCTAGATGACCCTGTAGTGATCCAGATGACCCTGTAGTGATCCAGATGACCCTGTAGTGATCCAGATGACCCCGTAGTGATCCAGATGACCCTGTAGTGATGCAGATGACCCTGTAGTGATCCAGATGACCCTGTAGTGATCCAGATGACCCTGTAGTGATCCAGATGACCCTGCAGTGATCCAGATGACCCTGTAGTGATCCAGATGACCCTGTAGTGATCCAGATGACCCTGTAGTGATCCAAATCATCCTGGTTCTCCACTAATACAACCAACTGTCGTGACCAGATTGTATGCGCTTCACCGTCTAAATCACACATCATAATATCCTTAAAATATGTCCGGCCAAAATTTTTAAGGAACAACATGCTATTCGCAGCAGACTTTACGTGCATGATGTAAATATTGATGGGGATACATACACACACACACACACACACACACACACACACAGACACACACACACACACACACAGACACACACACAGACACACACACACACACAGACACACACAGACACACACACACACACAGACACACACACACACACAGACACACACACACACACACACACACACACACACACACACACACAGACACACACACACACACACACACACACACACACACACACACACACACACACACACACACACACACACACACACACACACACACACACACACACACACACACACACACACACACACACACACACACACACTCCCCCAACAAGTATCCTTACGATTTTGTGAGACAATATGACACGATGGACGAAGGATTTTGACAACGCTACCGAAGCAACAACAGGAATTAGTGTTCATTTTGAAACTCATCGAACCCCTCCGTAAAGATACATTTTGAAGTGTGTGAACCTAAAGGGCAGCGACGAAGAGGTAGGATTCTGGGTTGATAACTCTCCTTCGTTGTGTTGCTGTCGGTAACACACTCCTTGGGTCGTGTTCAGGACCTCATGACTTATTTCTGCTTTCTAAAAAGGCAGGTCGTAGTCATACTGGAGGAGGTGAGATAATAGTTTAATTTATTTCAGGGTCTAGAAGGTGTATTTTACCACTGTATATATGTGTGTGTTGGGGGACCCGGTGACCACTTCACTATAAAGCGCCGCCGTAACCTTTCACGGCACTCCATTGAACCTTTTTTTTTATGTGTGTGGCGTTTCAGGGGCCACACCCACCAAACCTCTCTCTCTCTCTCTCCCTCTCTCTCTCTCTCTCTCTCTCTCTCTCTCCCAGGCTCGTGCTGATTATAGTAGCGGCACGACCCGGGTTCTGTTTTTGTGGTCCGGTGTTGTTATTGTTCCTGTACTGCGAGCCACGGTGTTGTTTTTGTGGTCCGGTGTTGTTATTGTTCCTGTAATGCGAGCCACGGTGTTGTTTTTGTGGCTCGCTATTGTTATTGTTCCTGTAATGCGAGCCACAGATGTTGAGTGGCTCGGCATTCTTTAACCACCAACATTGGTCAAGCCAGGGACTGTTTCTTGCCTATCACTATCCATCCCTAAGGTGGTGAGAGTCCCCGACCACGCCCACCTCGGGAGGAGATAAAAGGTGGGGGCGTGAGACATCCTGCGTCCACTGTGAGGGATAGGACACCCTTGGTGGACACCCTGGGGGGCCATGGACGCCCCATTACAGTAATGAGGTCCCTGGACACGCGGCTGGGCGGGGTCCCCTTGCCTGTTTGTTGACGGGGAGGGGACGAGCAGGACTAAACTACGAGTATGTGGTCGTTTTGTGCCCCAACCCTCCGCAGGTTTTTTCTTGTTTTTTTTTCTGGGGAAGGGAGCGTCCTTCTCCGTCCTGCCCTTCATCACTTGTTCTTGATGGGGGTCAGGAGCTAACATGTGGTCCCTCTTCACTGCCCTCCTGAGTAACACTCGTTTGTGGTGATGGCAAGGATGGGGCCATCAAAATACTCCTGAGTTTCATGCTCCCTGATCACTCCCTCCCTCCTTACCACTCAACGATAACACTCATTGTGATTGTATACTCACTACCCCCCCCCCCTCCTTGCCTCCTTCCCTCGCCTCCCTTCCTCCCTCCTCGTCCCTCACCCTCCTTCCTCGTCCCTCACTCTCCCTCCTCGCCTCCGCTGTTAGTAGGGGAGGTGGGCAGGGGGAAGGGTCGTAGATATAATTGGTGGTTTTCTGCCCCTTACTCATTTCTAGGTGAGGAGGGGAAAAGACCTTAATATCCAAGTTGTAATTCTCCAAAATGGCCATCATTACGCTGTTGAATCCTCACTGGTGTAATCATACACCACCTCCTCCTCCACTCATGTGATCTTCATACTTCGCCACATTATGATTTCCAGAGTGCATCTTTGACACATGACCTCCAGTCCTTCAGAGGAAGGCCTACAGCCACGTCCTCGTACGCGTCAAAGCTCATGGAGAGTTCTGCTCTAGTACAGGTCATAGTAATAATAATAATAATAATAATAATAATAATAATAATAATAATAATAATTAACGGTTTATTGAAAGCATGGCAGCTGGAAGGCTGAAAATATACAGTTACGTAATTGGGGAATGGGTCACTTGATTGACAAATAGTATACAAGTAACATAAGTTATACAACTATGATATATAATAATTAAGTGGGGAGAAGGTTATACTACAGGGCATTTCAACATTGTGACATTGCAAGAAGGTAATATTGGCTGGGAGTGAACACCCTGGTTGATTACGAGTTGTTGCTAATTTTTACAATGGTTGGGACTGGGCTGTTCTTACAGCGATCAGTACCTGCTCGTATGGGCTGGACGCTCCGTGTGTGTATCGCTAATGTCTTGAACATGTTTCCGTTATACACAAATTATTATTAACATTCTAAGACAGATAGAAAACACTTTTAGACTTCAAATAACAACGACTAATAAATGTAATGTCCATATTTTACATTCTTTACGAATGAACAAACAACTGCAGATGACATTTACTAGTGTGTTAACAGTGATCTTGGCTTCAGTATACTGTACCGAGTGTAACTGATGAGGGCAGGTGATGACTGGATCACACTCGAGCGTCAGAGTATGAGGCTAACGGAGGCAAAAATCTGGTTGTGTAGGTCAAACATTTTTAACTTTTACTAAAACATGGTGGTGCCGAGCGCCGTCTTTTACAACTCTACACAGCATTTTTTTTTTTTAGTCCATGTTCATACGATCTTTAACAAAGTACTAATGTGAAACTTTACAACAGAGACGGTGGCACCGCAACAAAAAATAAACAGGTTATGCTGATTGTGGATCCTGGCGCTCCAAAAATGTGAAGCCGCGGGATTCAATCTCTCTCTCTCTACAACTCTTGTCTCTTTCTCTCTTTTTCTCCCAAGTTCATTTCCTTGTCTTCGTCAAAACCTTATCACATGAGGCCCTTTCATGCGGTTCGCACTCTCACCTCGCAACTCCTCATAATACCAATCGACCGTTACACTGACACCTCGTTGTGTATATAACACCCACCAGTTATCCCGGCTGGCGTGTATTCCCGATTTACGCAAAAATTATAATGAGCGCGAACTTAGAATGCCGCCAACTTGAGCTCCGATGGGCATAGGTCGTGTCTGGAAGTAATTTAGTCAAGCCTGTTGTTGGTCAGTCAGTTGCTGTCGGTACAAGGCAGGGGTCAGGAGCACCCGTAGACCGTACTACACCCTTGACTCTTTACGTGGTACTTGTGACACTTCGCAGTGTAAATAATATATCCTGTGATTTTATTAAGAAAAGAGTTTTTAAGAAAATATTTTTTTTTGTGTAGTGGTGGAGTGTGGTTGGTGGAAGTCGCCAGTGCCGCCGTGGTTGCTTGACCAGTTTATACGTAGCCACCTGGGAGACGTAGTGGCCCCTCCCACCCACCCACCCAACCACCCTCATACGCCCCCGGCAGCCAGTCCCACCCCTTCCTCCCTACCCCAGTGCGTGAGTGGACCGCGTGCCACAGCTCTTCCCGTAACCCCTGTCGAGCGAACACTTGCGGGAAAGACAAGACGGACTAGGAAAGGGTTACACCAGTTTTGTCTGATATCATGGTCTTTATCGGGCTGGACAGAGAGGCGGCAACGAGGTAAGTTTTGTGGCTGTGTGTGGTGTGTGTGTGTGTGTGTGGCTGTGGCGGTGTGTGTGTGTGTATTTGTTTGTTTGAGCGTGACTTGTGTCTGTCTCGTCGTCTTTTTTGGTATTATTCATCTCATTGTTAGTGTGTGTACTGTACATGTAATAATGGCCTTTAGTTAAGATACTGTAGAGAGTCAACACCATCCATTTGTTGTTGTAACGGACACACGGTGTATGTGTCTCAGTGTACCATCTGCAGGAGCTTTTATTTTGTCAAGAGATAATTGTATAACGTAGATGAAGATTATTATATATACATGAAGGTGTGTGTGTTGTGTACTGGAGGGCAGGGAGAGAGGGCCACCAATTCCCCTGTTCTAACTACCAACCAGAACAGTCTCTCCCGTACTCTCTCTTCCCCGTATATTATTTATAATTTACCTAACATTTATGTAAACCTTCTGAATTAGTGCAACATGGTGAATGTATGAAACGCTGTAAAATCATACTACAGTATATTTTTGACGGGCTTTACATATTAAATCTATGTAATATTCTAAATACATGACACCCCCCCCTACCTCCTCCCCCTCCAAGATTTATGTAACACCGAAAATTTATGTGACGTTTTCATACATACGACCAGTTGCTGTTGAATACCCAATATAAATGCAACGCTGGTGTTAATGATAAATATATATATATATATATGAACGAGTAGAGGGGTTAGGTAGGGTTGAGGGGGGGTGAGGGAGAGAGAGATATATGTTTATTTAAGTTCGAGCCATTCCTTGCCTCATTGTCAAATATTTGATCCATTTAACGGAATGATGGGAGTGTATTTGTTTTGCCGCAGCCATATCACGAATCAGCGTCGGGTATTTGAATCATTTAAACCCTATAATGGCGAGTATTAATCTCCTCCTTATCAACGGTGAATGTTAACTGCGTGTGGTTTGTGTTGGTTCGTTTGTGTTGTTCCTAGAGCTTGTGTCCGAAAAGATTTTGTGGTTGTTGTTGTGATAGTAATATTTTATTGTTTTTTGTATTATTATTTTGTAATTGATATGATTGTTGATATTGTTTTGGTTATTATTTGTTATTTATTATTATTGTTGCTTTTTATAATCATTATTGTTATTATTATCTTTTTATTGTCATTACTTTCA